TATAAGCCAATGCAATGGTTGGAATCTTTTAAACCGTTTATTTGACTTACAGTTTTGCGAATTCCCATTCCTACTGGGAGTCACGTTACCTCGTTTAATCATCACACATGTAGGGCGCCCTCTAGCGGGCCAGCAAAGAGTTGAATTACGTTCTCACCTTCCGGGATTATTTTAGATTTCCCTACTAATATAACTCACGTTTTGGTTATATATTTATTTATAATATATAATAATACACAAATATACATAGAAGCTCTTTGCACAGTGTTTAAAATGCACCCTCAAATACTAGAAAACAAAACACAACATACTCTAGAAAAATCTTGATATTATGCATTACTTAAAGTTTATTGGTGAAACTAAATCTTACTAAACTGGTTAACTTTTCTTATATTTTGAATGGCTATATCTCAGAAAGGGCGATTCTTAGGGAACAAATTGTAATGACATATTTTATAGATAATTTCATGATCTACAACTATTGTTTTATGTATTTTTATGATAAAACATACCATTCAGATGAAAAATGCAAAAACCCAACTTTTGCGAACTTTTACCATGAATAATATTTTTTGCATTTGTGGGATCGATGGGCACTTTTCAAAATTCATTTATAATGGTGCTTCTAACATTTATATCAATATTCAGCTCCATGGGAATGATCCATATTTTTTAACCTTAGAAATATTTTTAAAGCTAACTTCACCGAATTATTTGGTGCCATTTTTGTATTTTTTCAAATCATTTTGTAATTTTGTGGAAACTGTCCATAAACCTTTGAGACGTCTACACTTTACAACCTTAGTATCTCCCGTAACCATGATTGCTCTAAAGCATTCGAGGAGAATCCGAAAAGTTAGTTTTATTTAAAATCCAACTTGTGAGAACCAGTAGTAAAGACAATATTCAGCAGAGTAACATTGGAACAGTGAGAATTTTTAACTCGCCGTAAATGCCCGGGCGGCAATGATCGTAAAGCAAAGGTATTGCAGAGCCTGATCGAAACGGATCGCATACCGCGATTTTGTTACTAAATCCACTCTTTCTAAGGTTAGATTTCATTTTTAAATATAGTTGTGATACTTTGTTTTATCTTCTACTTGAATATATTGGCTATTAAACTTAACAATATTGTTTCGTAGTTGAGAGTGTAGATCGTCTTCATATATTTTTAATATATACATATAAAATCATACACAAAAATTATAGATAGTTATATATGTTTTAGAATAATTTTTTAATCAATCCACGTCATTTCAAGACAAGAATAGCTAATAAAAGTTGCTTTAAGTGGAAAAGAGACGAGAGATTATCCATAAAAAAATGTTTCATTGTTTTAGTTTTTATTTTTTTTCTCCTCTCCTCCCCCTCCCCTCCCTTCCTTTTCCTTTCCCTCCTCTCCCCTCCCCTCCCCCATCAACTACAGTAGGTACCTATATCTGTACATTTACCACGAGTTTGTGTTGTAAAAAGGACTCTCACGTACATACGCAAACGTAATAAATCATCTTTAGTGCAAGTAAACTGCTTTAATATATTCCGATCCTATAATCCTAACTCAAAATTAAAGGTGAAAAATTTTATTTGTAGGTTTATTCTTTCTCATACTAACTTTTTTCGCGAGTGAAACCACTTTTGAGCCTAGATTACCTATTTATTGTACGATATTAATTTATTAAACACCAAAATACGAGTATCTAAAGTGTTAAGTGGTTATAGTATAGATCGTGTCTTTCGGTTTCATTTTAAAATCCATTCCAGTGTTAAAGCAAAATTGTATGATAATATAAAAGTTTCTATTGTATTATTTCTATATTTTATATATTAAAATTTAAGACAGCAATATGTCGTTATTTTTGGTAACATTTACTAATAAAATATTTCTATTAAAATCAATCAATTACTTAAAAGCTTTTTAAAAAAGCGTAGACCTTTATTAATATTTTGTTTGAAACCAAAAAATATGCTCATCAATCAAAGTTAAAAATTCATTTAAATTAGCAATTGTCAGTCTAAAGGCCAGTGGAGAGCAAAAAGCGGCTAATTTTGCAGATTTTCTACCGCAGATATCCCTTGTCTCTTTTAATGTCCGATTTTGGTAATAAAGTTCCCATTGTTCCCAATAGGGACGTGTAAATCATTTTGATAACATGTGAAAAATGATATAAATTAAATGTTTGAATGGGCGATTCATTTTTGGGATTCTGCATTTTAAGCAGAATAAAAAAACCTTATTAGTTCACTTGTTATTCATTAGTTCATCTTTAAAAGGGGCTCTTTGGTAAGAAGAGAGTTTGGGACCCGGAAAAGGATATAGGATACTTTTTATCCCGGAAATCATGACTTAAGGGGGTGAAAATGAGGATGAAAGTTTGTATGGGGAATCAACCTAGGGACGAACTCGAGCGAAGCGAGGATGAGTTGCTAGTATTTTATAAGCCTCTGGTTGATTTTACCGGGTTTTGCGAACTAAAGTTAACGTTAAGAAATATTTTTCATTAAATTTTGCTTTTAACCTTACAAAAACCCTTTGTTGTGTTAGTATAAATTATTTTATGAATATTTACGTAACTATAAACTCTTTGAGTCTTCATCAAACCTTATTTCATGAAAATCTATTAATAACTTTGAATTAACGTCTAATTCAATCAAAAGGGACACTCATTATGATATAATAAGTGTCCCCTTTGATAGAATTAGAATTAATTAAGATCACTAAAATGGTAAAGCAATCCCTATACTCGTATATGAACAAATTCTAATACGAAAGATACAAAAAACATTACTTATGCAAATAATATAAAAGACAGAACGAATTGATTTCAATGATAATCGATTTTAATCTCGGAAAAGTATTCACAAAAATTGAGCTACTGTTTCGAATTTTTCCAATATTTTTTTAAATAGCCTGCTTATCCAATTTTCACTTTAAGATGCTGTTAATAAAGTCTAAAATCAGATAAAGGAGAAGATGGCGAAGTTTCGTAATACATTTTACGAAGGACAACAAAGTTCAAAGCAACAATTAGAGAAATTCATTTTCAGCTATATAATAAAAAAGAAAGATATTTCAAAGAGAAATCTTTTTTATCACATGAAGGTGAAAATGAAAGCGACATTTATCAGACTGATAATAATATTATACTAATATTCATATTTTTATGAATATGCTCAACGATTTCATGACTGTGTTAAAAAACGGCAATAGAATTTTCTTAAAATTAATATATTTTTAAATATTAACGTCTTTGTTAACAACTAACTTACGCCTATGTGTTCTAGTGGCAAGCCTGTTCGGCTGCAAAAGAAGTCCGCGGTTCAAGTCCCGGGTCGGGCCAAGTTATTGGGTTTCTTGTCAAGAAATTCTAAGTTATCACTGGAACGCCAGCAGTGAGGCTATCAAATATCAAACATATAATTACAATTCTCAGCTTACGAAGCAAATTTATTATTGAATAACTAAAGTAAATTACGAAAAACAGAAAGTAAAAAGCCATTTAAGTCAGCAAAAATCAACGATAATGGTTTTCAGGGGGTGTTAAAATGTGCATTTCATGTTACAATAGCATTTGATTACGTCAGCGGCCGGCCTTATCAACTACCGGAAACAATGAGTCGACGCACTACGCACGAGATATTGAATCGTACAATTTACGATACCATTGTTTTTTATCACTTTTATATTTTAAAGCTTACTATTTTTTTATTACATCGTTGGTATACTTATTTCTCAATTATATCAGGACTGAGGTACTGAGCTCGATTCCTTAGTCAGACCACAAATATAGATTTTTGTCATTTTTTTTCAATAAAGGCACGCACGGATTTATTAATTTTTTTAAGTAATTACATCCTTTGTAAATGCTTGTATAATATCTGCTGCCCTGATAAAAGCCTGAATCAGATCATCATGATGATCAGCATCGTGATATTGTTTTTATCATTCAAAGTAATATAAGCATATTGACTTATATATATATATATATATATATATATATATATATATATATATATATATATATATATATATATTTATATATTTATATAAGTCATCAATTCGACTCTAGAACTTTAATGCGACAGAAAAGAGTCCAAGTTATATTGCAACCCTCTCTACTCACTTGTTAATTAGTAAAATATTTCATATAAGAGACTTTTATATTAACGTTTAGTATAGATTTCTCAGGGATGAGGTATTTCCCTGCTTTAAAAGTACCAAGTAAAAAGTAACCAGAGCATTCAGAGTACTAATTTATATAATCATTAACATACAACATTTTTTAAGCAAATTACATTATCAATAAGTGCAAATGAAATCCAATTTAATAATATTAATATCATAAAATTCTTTAGATTGCCATAAAATGTATGTAAAATGTGAAATAAGACCTAAAAAATGCGTATTATGTTATAATGAGGATTTAGCACGTCATATTCGAAAAAAAACCATTGTAAACCATTTTTGCTTTCTCTTTGTATATTATAGATAAGTACTAATAAGTGCGGTTAAGTTACAATTTTATTAAATACTAGCGACTCACCCTCGCTTCGGGACAAAAACGAATCTATTCTAGAGGAACCGTATAGTTTTCCGGGACAAAAATTATGTGTTATTCCAGACTATAATCTATCTCTGTGCCAAATTTCATCCAGATCCGTTCATCCGTTCTGGCGTGAAAGAGTAACAAACATCCATCCATCCTGACAAACTTTCACATCCGGTTTTTAATATTATAATTGTACGGTTCCCGTGGGATAGGTTTATTTTTGTTTTCCTAGAGGTGAACCCGAACGAAGCGAGGGTGAGCCGCTAGTTCATAATATTAGTATGAATTATCTAAAGTTTCATAATTACTTTTTAATGAAAAAGGACACTGACATCAAAATTTTTTTAAAGGTTTAAGGTTTAAACTTATAAGGATGAAATTTTATCATAATACTAAAATTCTTTTATAGTGCTTCTGCGATTGACTAGATCTTAACTTATTAATAATCATCTATTTATCAACGGATTGTAAAACTGTGAACGCTTGATAACTGACTTTGAGTACCTGAAATTATACGTAAAGTATTCTAAACATGTTATTCAGCAAAACACATTATTACACAATTATTTACATACAAATCTATTAATTATTTTTTTTTTAATATAAAACTATAAAATAACCAAGAATTAAAAATAATAAAATATAAATAATAAAAATAAAATAAATATGTCAGGACATTAACACACAACACCATCTAGTTCCATGGTAAGCTACGAGGCTTTTGTTATAGATACCAGATAGTTGATACATTATACAAATATAACTTTAAATACATACATATTATAAATAAAAACACCCATGACTCTAGTACAAACATTCGTGCTCATCACACAAATGCATACCCCCAGCGGGACTCGAACCCGCGACCGCTGGCGCAGCAAGTAGGGTCACTACAAACTGATCCAAACGTCTCGTCAAGTTATAGAAATAGCTTCTAAAAAAAGAAGAGGTATATTTTTCCAATGTAAAACCTCATTCAGTTATAATTTTTTAAGCACCTTATTAGTTTGTAAGTTATTATATTAATAAAATTACAACTTACAGCAGTCATTGTGATCAATGATAAGTCATTACCAACTGCCGTTTTGATACCAAATTTTTTGTTTATGTAGATAATAATAATTAAGTAGCATTTTCTATCTTTCAGCTCCAAATTCATCCAATCAAAATTAATAAGTGCTACTTGAACGTTACGTGCCTGAAATAAAAAAAAACGTATGTATTTAAAATCAATTTCTGTCATAAAATAATTTATATAAATATAATAATACTAGCGACTCAATCTTGCTTCGCTCGGGTTCGTCCTAGGTCCTAGGTACGTTTTAACGGTTAGTATGGAATAGGTAGACTGTATATTATATGATATATTATAGTCTATAGTCTTCCTCAATGAACGGGATATCTAATGCAAAAAGAATTTTTCAAATCGAATTCGTAGTTCCTGAGATATTTAAGCAAACAAACAAACTCTGCCTCTGTATAATATTAGTATAATATAATAATACTTAAGGGCAATACTGTCGTATGTAACAATAAGGACAATAATAGTCGTTTCATTTTTATTCATAACTTAAAAATTATTAATATACCTATCTATCTATACCTTTAAAAAATATTTTACGGTTAAATATTTACTCCAAGCGAAATATGGAAAGCCTACGTCAAAAATATGTATATAGTGTGTAAGACAGTATTACATAATATTATATTATCGAGTAGTTTGTGTTAAGTATATAGATGTAGGTATATTTGTTACTTATTCGCGCAAAAACCACTGAACTGATTTTAATGGAATTTTACATTAATATAGCTTACATATTAGAGTATGGTATGGTATGGTATGTTCGGGCTGTTTTCCGCAACTCGACGACTATGCGCCTATTTTGCGTGTGTGGGAAATTAACTTCTCGTTACTCTTGCCACCCCAGTTCCTCCAGGAACTTCAGCAACCTCTTCGTCTTGCCGAAAATTTCCGGGAGTGACCCAGGAGTGCCAAGATGTTGAGCAAGTTGAGCAACATATTAGAGTAACAGCTATAATTTATAATAGATACAATAATAAATTAATGAAATATGCGATAAAACGCTAAGAATAAATGAAAATTAAAACCTTTGTTTTAACTTGTTCTCCGAACCAATTATATGCAAAGATTTCCGCGAACATTGGCAAGAGATGCGGTGCAAATCTCCAATTGACCTCCTGAAACATGAAATAATACTAAATTAAATTTACTTTTTAATAAATTCAAAATATTTATATAAATTACTATATCCATACTAATTATAAATATGGAAGAAATTCTGTCGGTTTGTTACATTTTCACGATTTCACTGCTGAACAGATTTCGATGAAATTTAGCGGTGACACAGATAGCATTGAAGCCGCAACCAAAAATAATTTACGAATACCTTAAGTTTCTTTTTTATCCGTACATATAAAATTAACATTTTTTTTTAGGGACGCGTAATATTACTCGTACTATATCAATATTGATTCGATTCAATATCGCTTTAAAAATATTTCCGCCTTGAGTAGATTTTTTTCTTAGCGTTTGTCTATTTATTGGAATTTATTTGGAGCTAACCTATTTATTAAAAAAGAATGATGAAAATCATTTCACAATTTGCTAAAAACCGCCTTATATTTATACCAAAAAACTTACACTACAATTGCCTACATATGCTTATTGAAGACGGTCAAAAATCTATTAAAATCTAGCCGTTCTCAACTGAGGCGTAATGAAATAGAAACTTAGACTGGCAAAACGTTTATACACTGTATAGAACGGATAAGGCAAAAATAAAACATTTGATTATTTTAATGTTATTTTTTAACTTAATGATGGAGTCCTCTGGACCGATTTCAGCAGCTGATCTAACTGAGACTAGCTAGATAAGCAGAAGATATGATATGATAGTGCACAAGTGTACGCACAGACACAAGTTCACTCTCTATTTCTTTCTCAAAATCCGATGGGACGATATTTCGACACTCGCGGTGAGAATTAATAAGCAGGACCGACGGCTTTACGTGCTTTCGAAGCACCGGGGTGTCACCATCGCCAACTTTCCAGCTCCGAGCTACTATTGAGAATATCTTAACGGAAAATCTCAGTTATCAAACTCGGCCCGACACGGCACTCGAACCTAGGACCTCAACATCTGCAACTGTACATACTAGCTACTAAACCACTAGGACAGTTTTTTAAACTTAATGCTATATTTATTATGGTTAAAAGAAGTTTATAACCAATATTAAAATATTAAATAAGGATATTAGCAGTCATTTTTATAAGGAGGTCATGTAAATAAAAAATATTTCAATTCCATAAATATACATTTTTTTCATAGAAAGTTTATAAAATTTCAAAAGGTTATCAACAAGAATGAAGTGGGCTTAACTTGTTTGTATTCATATTCGGAAAAAGCAAGATTTATTAAGTTTTTTTCAACATCTCATTTAATGGAAATTGCGAAAAATTTTGTACCTAAGGAAAAGTTATGAATATAAATCTAAAGTTAATAAATGGGTATTGTAAATATGATGTGCTCGTTTTTGCTACGGTTTCCGTCTAGTATTTTTTTGCAAAGAAACTAAAATATGAATTGTTATATTTCTTGCTCATAATCTACTAATATACTACTAGTCTGTACGTTCTTTTCCAAAAAAGGGTTTTTTAGATTCAACAGCTCTTCTGATCACGTCTATAAATCTGGAATGATCAAATGGGCATAATCACAAAAATACGAGTATTTAGCTAAAATTTTAAAGCGTTATATATATATATATATATAGTGTTAATTTAGTGCCACGCAATTAAATTTTACGCCAAAATAGTTTAACCAAAAATTAAAAACTGGTAAGTTTTATTCAAAACTGTCTGTTGTCATTTTAAGTTTTTAATTTCCTCAGTAAAACAGGAAAGATTTTGTTGAGCTTTAATGAGAAGTATGGATTTTCCAGTTTTTGAAACACCGAATTGCCATATAGGTCGGATGTATACGTAAATGCACTCCCTAACGTTAAAGAATATAATATATATTTTTGAGCTAAGTTTTCTCTAAATACGTTCAATAGTTTACGCGTAATTGAGCTAAAACCATCGAAATATTTTCGCAGCCTTTTACATAGTAATATCTAATAAAATAATAATATAAAATTACTATAAAATTTTCGAAACTATGTAATAGCAATAATGAAATTTAAAAACCATATTTGAGAATCCTAAAAATCCTATTTTACGTACATATCTTTGTCGGTGTACGAATGATGATTAGATTTTGAAACCTACCTAACTAGCTCTCTGACTAAAGACAGGTACAGCCTTTGAGCTACATAGCAAGTCAATTTAAATTCAAAAATTGAGAGGAAATTCGAATAGGTGATAAATACACCGCATACTCCTGTATAGTGGCAAATATTTGATTTTCTTCATACTTTCGTATTTATATTTCCTTGTTACAGAAATTGTTTTTTACCTCTATCCGCTTTGAGTCACTAAAAATATTTTCAAGTACCTTTATCTGGATTCTAGTAGATATATTACATAGTTAATAATTTGAAAGGCTTCTAGTTCTGAAACTTTATCAAAGATTTTTCTTTAAATGTTCTTTGATTAAAATATTGATTATATTATAATGACATTAAAATTCAACTACAACACATTTGTCAGTAAGACATTTACATATAATAAAATTCCAACTGAGTTGAATCTGTACATTAAATATTTTTTGGAAAATCTTGTTGAAATAATCATTATTATCGATACAGAGGCTGAATCTGTAGTTTTTTGATTTTTTGTCTGTCTGTCTGGGAACGCATCACGAGAAACCACTGGACAGATTTTGATAATAGCTGGTTATCCAGGTTAATATGTAGAATACTTTTTACTGCGGGAATACCTCATCTCTGAGAAATCTATAAATATCGCGTTAAAAGGGACAAACCCGAGCGGAGCGAGGGTGAGTCGCTAATAATCTATATTTGTATAAAGTTTTATAAAAAATCTTTCAATGTTTTAGACATAATTAAATTATATCAGCTGTTTACAAAATATTTCAAAACTTATTATATTTTGATGTAATCTTTAGTTTATATACTTACCTTACTCATAAGAAGTAATATAAGACAAGTGCACATCGCTGCATTGCACAAAGGCACGAAGGCTAGCCACTTGTACATGTTATTTAAGGCATGCGTATATCTAAAATATCATAAAATATGTCCATTAGTTCAAAATAATAGACATTACTGTTAAATATATTTTAAACCGACTTAAAAAACACGAGGTTCCCTTTTCGTATGTATGTTACGTGATTCAATTTGTATGAAATTGTCATAATTATTCTTTTATTACGAGTAATACACATATATTGTTTAAAATAAAATAGTCATTTAAAAATTCTTAGCAATATTTTTTATTTATAATATCTCAAATTCTCCCCAAACCCCAAAATGAAATTAATATTGGACCAGTTATATACAACATGATGATGTTCTCCTAGCCGATTCCGGCTACGGCGGCCAATCTCATTGAGATTAGCCAACTGCGCAGGAGATATTATAGTGCTCAAGTGTACGCGCAGACACAAGTGCACTCTCTATTCCTATCACTCTCATACTCCGGTGGGACGACGACTCGACACGACCGGTGAGAGTTAAGGCGCAGGACCGACGGCTTTACGTGCTCTCCTAGGCACGGGGGTGAAACACCGCCAACTTCCCAACTCCGGGCTGTTACTGAGACTTACTATACAGAAAGACTCAATAACTAAACTTTGGCCCGACCCCGAACCCAGGACCTCCGGGTGTGCAGCCGTACATACTAGCCACTACACCACCGAGGCAGTTAAACATACTATTATAATAAACCGCTAAAATATATATAAATATTGTATATATTTCATATATATAAATATTATAATAAGCCGCTAAAATTTAATTATACACATATATTTTATATTACTTTTAAAATAATGACTTAATTTATGGCATGATTATACTTACTCTTCAAGCTTAATATGCGTCAGATAGAAATAACGCAGGCTTTTATTCAATCGGCTTGAATATGACACATTACTCTCATCATCTGCTTTATAAACTTCTAGAACTCTTGCCATACAGTCATTTGCCACGCATAGAAAGTAAATCAACAATACGAACCACATATCCAATATTATAGTCGTGGAAATCTCCAATAAGAAAACTGAATGAAGAAACCAAGCAATTTCATAATAGGGTGCGGTCATGGGCATTAGAGTGACAGTTGATCGAGATAGTAAGACCCTCTTGCCATTTACATAGTTCCATAATGTAGTTAATTCGTAAATAGAACAAGGTACAAGTACCATTAAAAATAGTGCATAGACTATTTTACGTGCAGTTTTCAATATATGATCAGAATTGATAGTGGCATCGGAATTAATTATATTCATTAAAATTGTCTTTACTGTGATGTAAAGTTTTCTGAACAAATCCCTATTTTGGATAAATAAAATCATTTTTAAAGGAAATATGCCTATCATAATAAGAGTATAGCACGCTTCAGCCACCAGTTCCGTGTCAGTGGTGGTTTTCAAACATTCCAGTGTACCAAAAAATACGTAAATGAACAAAATCAAAATAAGCAATTGGTGAATGAAATATTTTTTCCAAGTCCATTCAGGATCGAGAACTTGCTGACCGTAAATTCGTTGCAAAATAAGAGCTACGTTAGTAATTCTATCGATTTCGGTTCTATTCCCGGCAGTTTTTGAGTATTTTTCAATTAATGTACCAAAAAAATTGGACATTTTTAGGAACGTTTGGATCCAACGAGGTATGGATATTGTGTGACTTAACAAAGGTGTATTTGTACTATTGGGGATAAAAGTGAATAGATTTTTGTTAAAATGTGAATGCTTTCTAACTTTTTGTTACAATTTTTAAAATGTCTGTTATTAGCTTTTCCTTGACCTTTGTCCCAAGGTACAATACTAGTTTCTATATGTGGCTTAGCCTGTGTGAAAATGTTTTATTTTTTCTATGAAAAATTACGTATTTCTATATTTTTTTAATAAGAAGTATTAGAGTATTGTTAAAAAGGCCTTTTGAGGGAAAAATTCTTATTACTAAAATTATGATATACATATGTGTATTTAGTTCAGTACGTGGTTATGCGCCTATTTTAATTTAAATTCATTCAATTGTACACGCATGAGTAACAATCTGTCAGATATCCAAATATCTTCGCAAACTTTTACATAAAAATCCAAAGACAATGCAAGACTCAATAAAGGAAGGAGTACACCTATACCTATTATTAGTCCAGGTGGTAGCAAAATATTTACATCATACATATTGTAAATGTGAAAGTATGCTTGTTTGTTTGTTCTACTTTCACGTCGAAACAGAGTGACGGATTGGCGTGATTTTTTTTATGGGGATGGTTAGAGGGCTTTTACTTTTTAAAGCGGGAGATAATCTCATTCTCACGGAAAAACACGTTATAATACAACCAAAAAAAATATTTATGATCAGAAGTACTTGAAACTTGGTATTAATTCTCTTCAATACAATTAAATAAATACACATTTTAGCATTTTTCGCAATTCATCCCACAAGGGGGTAAAATAGGGGATGAAAATTTATATGAAACCTACCTTTTTAGAGCTTTTCTTGTAGTTTTAGCCCGAGCGAAACTGTGTGTTCTGCTAGTAATATTATAAAAATGATAACACCATACAAATACGAGTACATCAACTACTAAACCAAGCGCAAACGTAATCTAATATCCAATATAAGTACAGTTCACCGTTCACGTACGTCATTCTCAGTGCATTCGATAATCAATATGTTCCACGACGAATCACCCCGTAGGCGATAGATACCTAGCTAATTACTCTCTCATTTGAATATTATTCATGTCTATTTAGATCGTTTAAAAGCTAGATTAATCTAAAGGTACGTATGAAAACCGACGCCGCAAACGTTTGCCGAACACGTTTTCCATCCTAATTATGAGACACTGAATTCTAATTTAAACTAAATTGTTAATTGAGAATCCAAATACAAAGCATTGTTTGTATATTCGTTATTAGTGACATAGTCGATAGTTTCAGATGGCGTTTTCGAATGAACAATAAACATTGATAATAATTTGAATTAACTAATGATGTGAAAGTGGTTGTGGATAGTTTGGTTTTGTCGTTTTAGAATTTAATTTTAGTACTGTACTTGTAACTTACTCTTGCTTTGCTCTGAAATATTCCTAGATGCTTTACATTAAGGTATGTGTTACTATAGCTCTTAATCTATTTGTGTCTGAAAGTTGTAGGATGAAAGAGTAATAATCAAACATACACACAAAAATTTTCGCATTTAAAATTGTATTTCGATTAGTGTAGTAGTTAATAGCTGATATTTGCATTAATGGTTGCAAATTCGACTCTCGTATATGAGAAATGTGAAATGCCTGTACTTGTGGTGTGGTTCTGGATCAATTCCACCGTGTGTACTGTTTAATATAACGAAAACCATTAAAGGTCCTATTTTATTATATTATTATTAGGTATATTAAAACTACACTTTTGCTAGTCTATAATTTGCTGAGATCAAAATGTGAACTTTAAATATTGCACGGCTATGACTTCTTTTCTGTGAAAACGTGTTTGTTGGTTAGATTCAGCAACGGAGCAACAATATTTATCGCAATAACAGCACGATTTTCATATATTTACTAATCAATGAAACCACAATGAATGTAATTCTTTTATATATTTACTAGTTTTTTACCGCGGCTTCACTCACATGGTAAGTGGAATGGGAATCAAAGGTAGCCTATGTCCGTCCCCAGGCAATTTATGTTCTTGCCAAATTTTATCGAAATCTGTTCAGCGGTTTAAGCGTGAAAAGGTAAGGTAACAGATAGAGTTACTTTCATATTATTATAATATTAGTATGGATATTTTTTTTTAATTATTAGACAATAAATAATATGAAAGCTTACAACAGCCATTAATTTGAAATTTTTGAATTTTGAATTTTTTGAATTATGAATTAAAATAATTTAATTCAAAATGGAGTACTTAATTAATGTGTCGATGTAAATGTGTATATAGTATATACCCTCGATGATTTAGTATTACTAGGGTAGATATATAGTTTTTTTTATTTTGAATTCGTTACACTCCAGAAACATACTGTTCGTGCCTTTTTTAAGCTCTTTTTCTTTCTTTTTTTGTCGTGATTATGAATGTAACTCTTGCATCTTGTTTAAGTTTTTCAAAGAAATTCAATTAAAAGTTTATTCTAATGTAGGAAATGGGCTTTAGGGCCCCATTTAAGTGAGATTGCTTTCTCATGTTATAATATTAGAAAATAAATGTTAATTGTCCCAAAAAAATATTGAGGACTAAAAGAGTCCTCGTGTTAATTTGTTTATGAAAATTACTAAGTCGAAAGAAAAAATTTCAAAAATCAATAGTGATGTTTGATAAGTATTGGTTTTAAAAGAAAAAAATTGATTAAAACCAAATCTTTACTTAAATATGTTCAAAACAAACACTAAGTAATTACTGTACAAGTCATGTCCGCTTGTTGAGGCAAGAATGCTAGCTGCAATCCCCCGCTGTATGACAATGCCGTTTCTTTGGGCGGAAAACGAGTCTGGCGATATAATACAATAAGCAATAAGATTTTAAGTGAAAACACTATTTTGTTAAAAATATTGAAGACTAGCGGCACCTTCGCTTCGCTCGGATGAAAAACAAAAGCAAATCTATCCCACGGGAACCGTATATTTTTCCGGGATAAAAAGTAGCCTACATGTAATTCTGATGTAAGAGCTAAATTATTGTAGTTTCATTCAAATCCATTCAGTAGTTTTATATATACATCTATATATCCAGACATCCGTACATCGTCCGAAACTTTCGTTTTTATAATAGTTGTTTTTATAATATTGCTATATATATTGCTGATTATATTTATTAAATTTTAAGAAAAAGTTAAATGGTAGTATTTTCAATAAAACTATCTTTACGGATTTTTTCGAAAAACTTCTCATTATTATATATTTAATTTTATTAATTCTTATATAACTAGATTTTTACGAAAAAGTCCCAAAAGATAGTTTTATAATATCAAATATTCGCGTAAATCTAAGAAAGTATTATGGTAGAATTTTTGTGATTAAATTATTTTTAACGTTATTTTTTCAACTTTACAATACGACTGTACCAGATATTAAACGTCAGTTATTATCCAATTAACAAATTAATCTTTTGCCACCTCGATCTGTTATTGTGACTCCATAATTTAGAAACGGTTCACTGCTATCTTCTAGTATTAATTATTAACACCAACTTCGTAGTTTAGTATTTTTGAGTCACCCTCAAAACCTTAATACAATGAATTTTAAACCATATTCCTATAACAATACAGTTTAAATTTCTATAACAACACAATAATATCCAACGTTTCGCTCTTGCTTCAATAAAAATCGAAACCCATTTCTCTAATTGCCAGTTGGTACAAAATTGCACAATAATAATTCATTGGCAATAAAATACTCATTTAGAAATATGAGTTACGCTAGCGGTATCCTTCAAATAGATTTTCTAAATGGCTTTCGATCGTCAAAGTTTTATTTTTTACATTTTTTCCTGTTAATTAATCATTTTTTGATTGCACCGCGCTGCGGTCACGAGTTCGGAACATTACAGTGTTAACGTAAAGCTCTTTGTAATAGTAATAGTGCTTATTTTTAAATAAAACTATCTTTTCGGATTTTGTCGCGGATTTATTTGCATTTTTGGTTCCCGACGTTTCGAATGCTTTACAGCATCCATGGTCACGGGAGAGACTGAGGTGTTACATGTCTTGAAGGTATAGTTGTTACAGACAGTAGGCTGTCTGTTTTATTTAAAATGTCAAATATTCGCGTAAATCTAAGAATTTTTTTTTTGCGATTGTTGATTTATAAGCAAAGGTATGAATCTGAAATTCAAAATACGCATAAATGTTAAGATGCTGGTGGTGTATTTAATAAAAGTAGAATTTTCTTGATTTATATCTAAGAAGCCTCTTAATTAAGTCACGTTTTAAACAAAAAAAACTAAATTATACACACGTTAAACTTACAACAACCCTCTTTTTGCGTCGGGGGTCAATAAAAATGCTGAAATAA